AAAAAAAAAAAAAAAAAAGATGCCCTTCGTCTTGATTTCCTTGACTTGAGCGTCTTAATCAGGAGCCTTACCGTAATGAGGGGAGAACTCACTCCAGGCAATACCGTGTAGCACAATGCCTGGCACAAAACCTACGTACCATCAACGGCTGTTGAATGCACTACCTGGCTCAAATTGAGGGTACAGAGCACTCAGTGAACCCAGTGGTGGGAACCACAGAATGACCAGTGTGGAGGATCTGGCCTTTCTGGGGCCCCGTGGTCTCTTACCACGTTGTGCAATTTGTTCTCCTTTCCTGCAGCCTGACTTCTCCTCCTCGTGCAGTATCTGGTTTCTGCTCTGCAGCTCTGTGGTCTTCCTGACTGCCGGCTGGGACCTCACAGCTCAACCCGGTCTTGCAAGGACCCCAGGTCCACGTTCGCAGGGAAGGGCGCGTGCGGGGGCGGGCTCTGATTGGGCGCCCCCAACTGGTCAGCCGGCCGTGGCCAGGGGAGCGAGGGAGTGTGATTTGGACCATCATCCCCACTGAGGCCACTCCTGGGGAGAAAAGAAACGATTCCTGTGTCAGTAACTCTTGTACTTTATCTTTGACTCTTTCTTCTTCTTTGTGCCTGTGTCCCTGCCCTGCTTCTAGCGAACAGATCGGCCCTGACTTTTCGGTAATCGTGACATCCCCTCCAGTCGTTCCCTATTCCTGCCTTTGACCTGGACCACCTCAGCCACTGCTGGCCAGTCATTCGATGAGAAGTGCCGTTAGGTGCTCAGGGCACATTTGCTGCCTTTGATTGTCTCTTTACTCACAGCCTCTTTCCTTTCCTCGAATCCTGCACACATCTGGCTTCCTAGGACGACTTGTGCTCCTCTAAGATGGCCTGCTGACTTTGTGTCACATTTTATCCCGGACTTTTTAGCCTCGTGGGATGCAGCTTCTCCGTGCCTTTCCAGCAGGCATCTCCCGCCATTTCCCACGGGCTTCAGTAATCCTGGCCTGTCAAAGTTGACAGTGGACATGTCTCCCAAGCTCTTGCCTTCCTCCCTTAGCTTGGTCTAGGCTCCCCTGGAATGCTGGTTCCCCAGGAACTTCCCGTTAGTCCTTTCATCCCTCCCCTCCTTTGAAAGCAGTCTCCTGCCGCCAGCACTGTGACAGGCTCCCAGATTTGCATCATGGGGCAGGGGCACCATTCATACAGAGTTAAGCATAAATTGTGCTCCAGAACTTTCTACAATTGTCCACGTGCGTGCCTCAGTCCCTCCCGGAGTTGCACGGTGTGGAGCCCCGCCTTCTTGTGTTTTCTTAGAGTTATGTGTGTCTGTGTCTCAGCTCCTTATGAGGTTTTAATCTCATTTTTGGCTAAGTATTTGTCTTATTTGAATTTGCCTTCAGCTTGGTGCCTTCCTCAAAATCGGTATTTTATAAATATTTGTTGAATGGTTGAGTGGAAGCTCGTGTCTAGCTCAGTTTTTTTTAATGTGAATGTAAATATGTGAAATGAAACCGTAAAACGTTTCTACCACCCCGATAAAAATACGCATCCTTTATTAAGTGTCTCTCCTGTGACATTTATGGTGAGAGATGCTACTCCGTCGAGGTAGGTCAGTATTCTTCAAGTTAACAGGTGGGTCTTGAGAGCATTTAAACACAAACCAAAGAATAGAAAGTATCCGCGTTCCCCTCACCTAGAGTGAGCAATGCTTCCTGGAACTTTTATTATTATTATTTTGTATCAGTGGTATAGATTTTTGTGTTTGTACCAAGTGTGAATGTATGTTACTGTGGATCATGGTCAAAAGGGTGCCAGGAAGCACGGAGAGCTAGGGGAAGTTGCCCCTATTTTGCCCAGAAGGAAACCAAAGCCGAGAAGTTGATTATCAATAGTCACATAGCTAGGATCGGACAGTGTGGTTTTAAACCCTGGCCAGTTCACTGCAAAGCCCACGCACATAACCTCTGTGTAACCTGAGGGCTAGAATTTTTCCCTAAGCAATAGAAACCCAAACATTTCTCTGTGTTTTTCTCTCACATTTATTCAAGTGAGTACAGTTTTGTAGTGATTATATACTCCTATTAATGTAATTGTATTCATAATATGATTGCATGAACAGTATTTCATATACAGCTTTCCATGTTGTTACAGTTTTCATATTTTTCCAGGATGCTATTTCTTGAGTCAATAACATAATTTGTGAAATCAGTGCACTAATATTTGTCATTTAGGTAGCCTTCAATATTTTAATATCTTAAATGGACTGCAAATAGCGCCTTTATGATCAAAGTCTGCATTTTTCACCTAAAAAAATTTTTTAATGTTTATTTTTGAGAGAGAGAGGGAAAGATAGAGCTCGAGCGGGGGAGGGGCAGAGAGAGAGGGAGACACAGAATCCGAAGCAGGCTCCAGGCTCCCAACTTGTCAGCACAGAGCCTGACATGGGGCTCGAACTCACAAACCATGAGATCATGACCTGAGCCAAAGTCGGATGCTTAACCGACTGAGCCACCCAGGTGCCCCCCATTTTTTTTCTTTTTTTTTTTTTTTTTTTTTTTTTTTTTTTTTTTTTTTTTTTTTTTTTTTTTTGCTTTTCAATGACACTCTAAGGATAATACCCCACACTAGCATTTGGGAAAGAAAAGCATAGACATATTTGAAGTAGTTTCCTATAGTTGCTTTAACAAAATACCACAAAAAGCACGGGGAGCTTAAAACAACGGAAGATGTATCATCTCACGGTTTTGGAGGCCAGAAGTCAGCAATGAAGTTGTTGAAAGGCTTGGTTCCTTGTGGAGGCTCTGAGGGAGAACCCGTTCCTTGCCTCTTCCAGCCTCCGGTGGTTACTGGTGCTCCTAGCCTGTCCTTGGTTTATGTATGAGACACATCACTCCAGTCCCTGCCTCCACTGGGCCTTCTCCTGGTTTAGCAATGTCTGGATGCAGATTTCCCTCATTATGTTAATACCAGTCACATTGGATTTAGAGCTCACCCTAATCCGGTAGGACCTCCCCTTAACTTGATCACGTCCGCAAAGACCCTGATTCCAAATAAGGTCACATTCACTGGGTGGATATGTATTTTGGGGGGACACTCTTCTACCCAGCACAACATTTATGTCGCTTATGCTCTTTGCGTCACCCTGAAGCTGATTTTTGCCCTCTTTCATTTTTTTTAAAAATTGTGTATTATGGAAAATTTCAAACACACATAAAAGTAGGCAGCTTACTCTTAGGGACCCCCTCATCATATATACTCATCAGTCTGCTTTCCTGAGTCACAGTGAATGCAAGAACAACACAAAAATAGCTCTCTGCATTTTTTAATTCTTTTTTTTAATGTTTATTCATTTTTGAGAGAGAGAGAGAGAGAGAGAGCACAAGCAGGGGAGGAGCAGAGGCAGAGAGGGAGACATAGAATCCAAAGCAGGCTCCAGGCTCCGAGCTGTCAGCACAGAGCCCGACGCGGGGCTCGAACTCATGAACCGCAAGGTCATGACCTGAGGTGAAGTCAGATGCTTCACCAGCTGAGCCACCCAGGCACCCCTGCATTTTTTAATTCTTAAAGCTGGATTTTTAAACTCTTTTAAAGTAAACTCTCGGCCCATTTTGTTCCCCAGTTTCTAGTTCATTGAATATGACAGGTTGTGCAGTTTTTCCTTTTCTCCTTGTTGGTGAAACTCCCTTCATTTCTTTTTCTAGGCTGTGCTGTGTTACAGGGCAGCCCCGTGGCTGGGACCCCCACTTACTGTGATGTGCTCAAAGAAGCCTGTAAATGTGACTTCGATGACTTTGTTGTCGTAGGTAAGATTTGGAAACTCACCAGCTAAGACTCGGTACTTCCCCTCCCCTGCACACACATATTGACATGCATCACAGGTGACATTGCATGGTAGTGGCTTTCAGAGAGACTTCTCTCAAGATCAGACTGTGTCCCTGATTTAAAAAAATAATAAGATGTCCTTCTTATTTCGGATGTCTTGATAACCAGTCTGTCATCTGACTTGTAGAATTGAACGCAAAAGCAGATACTCATTATGGTCTGGTATCTGGCCCCTCCATCATATTCTCGTGGAGTCCCAGGTGAGTATATTTTGAAATCCCATCTCTGGTCCTTAGCTGTAGTCTCATGATAGAAACCCAGAGAACCTGAAGTATTAAGATGCTGAATACCGAGTTCTTTCTGAGATGCAGGCATTTATTTTTGTGTTCTTATAAAATTGGGTATGAACGAGCCAAACAGACCGAAAGACTTTAATACCCTTTCTTTTATTTGCTTGCAGAAGTTGGTGAGTTTAACAATATCACAGAAACCTGTGGATGCCCCTGCAACTCCTCTAAGAGGTATCTGTCTTCCGTGTCCCCCTGCACCTAGACCCCTGGGCCATTACCTCTGAGGCAGTATGAACACCAAGCCTCTGACATCTTGGACCAAGTTCAGCCAGTTCCAATGATAGGGATTAGTAATTAGCAATGAAACAATCACCGCTAAAGTTTCTATAGAGCTTTCTATAGTTTTTATTTAATAGCGTTTAAAAGACTTTGGTATACAGTCTCATTGAATCAGGCTGGGCAGAGTTTTTACCCCATTTTATAGATGGGAAGCTGAGGCTCAGACCCAGTGTGCCTCAGGACATAATGCTGTTAAATAGCGGAGGTAGGACTTGAACTCAGGTCTTCGGTCTCCAAATCCAGTGCTCTTTAACCACGTTTCCTCGTCTTCGTACCCTCAATAAATAAAAGCTGCTCTGTTGAGCACGGAGGAACTGCATTGAATAAGACATCCAACGGGTATAGATGCCTGGTCTCCTGCGTGACACATCTTCTGAGTTTTTGGAGTGGGAAGGATAGTTGAAAATACAAAGACGCTTAACATACTGCTCATGAGTATAGTTTTCCCCTTTTTGCATCTTGTACCTTTCAGTGTCACTTATGAGCCAAACTTCAATTCTGCTGAGCGAATAGCCAAAGAGTTGTACCGAGTATTCCGGAAGTGCTGGGTGTTGTCAGAAGTTAATCATCAGCTGGCAGGTTCTCCGAATGCAGCTGGCTCGATCGTAAGTACCAAAATTAGTTGGCCTTGAATTGGAAGTTCCTTAATTCTCATTTTGGCTGCCGTTCACTTCAGACATTTATGCGTTTCCTTGTATGGTGGCCGGGTGTTGCTGGGACACTTGAAACAAAGGATGAATCTGACATTTATTGAGTGTTTATTATGCACCAGGGGATTCAGCATTTCACATTTTTCATCCTTCTAAGTATCCTATTAGGTAGATGCTGCTATTATGTTTATTTTATTTTATTTTATTTTATTTTATTTTATTTTATTTTAATTTTTTTTAATGTTCTATTTATTTTTGAGACAGAGAGAGACAGAGCATAAGCAGGGAAGGGGCAGAGAGTGAGGGAGACACAGAATCTGAAGCAGGCTCCCGGCTCTGAGCTGTCAGCACAGAGCCTGACATGGGGCTCGAACCCACGGACCACGAGATCATGACCTGAGCCGAAGTCGGATGCTCAACCGACTGAGCCACCCAGGCGCCCCTGTTATGTTTATTTTAGTGTTCGTTCCAGCCGCTCAACAGGGCTGGTCATTGGAAGAGCAGGAGTCATTCCAGCCTGGTCCCCTGTGGAACACATTGCCCTCTGACAGCATGCGGTGCACCGGGAAGAGAACTCTGGCAAAGCTAAAATAGGGGGAGGAAAAAAAGCACTCTGGGCACGCAGAGGAAGAGGCAGTGTTTACTTGTATCAGGGGGCTTGGGAAGGCCAGTTGGAGAGCTCAGAACTTGAGAAGGGTGGCAGGTAGAAACGCATGGAAAGGCATTCTTGGTATAGCGCAGCTGGAGCAAAGGTGACAGGAGTGCATGGTGTGTTAGTTGAGCAGGGTGGCTTGGTGTGGTTGGATAGCTTGTGTTTGTGTGTATCTGTGTGTGTGCTGGGTCGGGGATGTCGATCTTCCTGGAAAATTAGTTTTGAAGGATGCGATCAAATTTGGGGGGAACATAGAATGCTAAGTTAACCAGTTTGCATTTTATTTCTTATTTTTTAAATAATTTTTTAAAAATTTATCGATTTATTTTGAGAGAGAGTGTGTGCATGTGCGCGTGCAAGCTAGGGAGGGACAGACAGAGAGGGAGACACAGAATCCAAAGCGGGCTCCAGGCTCTGAGCTGGAGAGCCTGGAGAGTCCAGCGCGGGGCTTGAACTCACGAACTGTGAGATCATGATCTGAGCCGAAGTCTGACGCTTAACCGACTGATACACCCAGGCGCCCCAACAGGTTTGAATTTTAAATGCTAGTAAGAAACTTGAGTGGTTCAGAGGGGAGCCACTGGACATTTTTAAGCAGGGAAATGGTCTTAAAAGAGCTGTTTCTGGGGAAGTCTGACAACAGCTGGGGGTTCTGGTTGGAATTGGTCTCAGCCTCTTGACTAAGAGGGGTAAGGCTTCTGCTGTGCATAAAAGCATTCCAGGTCGCAATGACCTACTTCCAGTAATTTGAAGTCTGGAAACAGATGAACTACTGAAAACACGAGGAAAAGTGATCTCAGCTGGGTGGTGTTTCAAGCATGTCTGCAGATGGCTTTAGATACAGGGAGGGCTCCTTTAGTTCAGTTGGAAGCAGTTTCAATTTTTCGTGGCAAATTTTCATGCTGGAAACACACGCGAACGTTCTTTCTATTTCAGTTCCTGGAATGTGCTTGTTCAAGTTGCTCTGAAAGTCTCTTCTGTGTTGTGCAGGTTGTGAATGAAGAGCGTGTCCGAAAAGACTTTGAATCCAGCGTGGATGTAGTTCAGGAAATTAAACTTAAGTCGAGGATCAGAGGGGCTGAAGACTGGACGCCCCCTAGATTTCAAATCATATTCAGTGTTCACCCACCACTCAAGTAAGTCCAGGTTGCTGCTTGGGCCTCCAATCCAGGTAGCACAAGCCAAGATGGCTCCCACTCGTGGAGCCATGGCTTCCTCTTCGTGGAAGTCGAGGAAGGGGAAAAAATAACACACCAGAGGACAAAGGAAGTTTTGTTTTAGGAATAGGAAAAGTTGGGCATATTTTTCTGAATTAGCTTCTTAGCACCCTGTTTATCATGGGTTTTGGGGGGCTTGGGGGTAAGTTTGACAAGTTGAGAGTTTAACTATGTCCTTAGTTATGTACATTATATAGCAATTAAAAATCAAGTAGGTTTAAAGGGGATATTCTTTAAGTAGCTAATATTGAACCTTAAAAACCATATACAACAAATGTATTTATTTATTTATTTATTTATTTATAAAGTTTATTTATTTTATTTTAAGCGAGAGAGAGAGAGTGTGAGCAGGAGAGGGACAGAGAGAGAGGTGGGGAGAGAGAATCCCAAGCAGGCTCCACGCTGTCAGCATGGAGCTCGATGCAGGGCTGGAACCCACAGACCCGTGGGATCATGACCTGAGCTGAAGCCAAGAGTCGGACGCTTAACCAACTGAGGCGTCCAGGCACCCCGACAGGGGGACATTTTTTAACCAGTTACAGTCTTTCCATTCCTCTTGGCTTGTATTTAATGTGGCACCCAAACTACAGTGTAAAGAAGGGATGGTGAAGGTGATTGCCCGTGTCCCATGGAAGTGCCTTCTAGGCTCTCTGTTACGTTTTCTTTTAAGAGAATGCCAGGAAGGTCTCTGGGGCGGCTTGGGCAGAAGAGCTCCTTCTCCAGGACTTGCAAGGGGTCACTTTCCTTAGCAAGGGGTGACTCCTCTCTAGCATTTCCCTATGTCCTCTCTAAGGGACATGGGTAGGGTTCTGTACATTTTTACTTTGATCTTTTTTGCCGACCCCAAACTGTAATAAAATTTTATAACTTTCTTCGTATTTCCAAATCACACGTGAAGTTGTGAAATCAATAGTTCAATAGAAAACCCTCCAGTAGACTGTCTCTCACCAGAAACGTCCGATACTTCTGTCTTCTATTACCTCTTACTCATCTGACTTTCTTTGGATCCATTTGTCAATTTCCCAAGTGCATTACTTCTTGGTGTTTCGTCTCCCTGAACTTTCTCCAATGCATTATGTGTCTTAAGTTCTGTCTGATAAGGAACCTGTGCCCTCACAGCGAGAAGTCTCTAAAGATCCCATTGCGGAAGAGTTATTCATGAGACTGACTTCTGCTTTGGTGGTAGCTGGGGCTTTTAGAAGACCCACCAATCTCAACTCTAGAATAAAAAACTCTATCAAATAATCCTATTTTTTCTCCAGATGAAAAGTGACAAAATTAAGGCTCCAAGCCAAGTACCATGATGTCAACTTCTTTTCTAATCAGTTGAGAAATGCTCCGTCGGCCATTTCTGAAATGTAACCGTCATCATTTTCTGTACTCAGGAGGGATCTCGTGGTAGCAGCCCAGAATTTTTTATGTGCTGGCTGTGGAACTCCAATAGAACCTAGTAAGTATGGACAATGCATTACCTGCTTAGTGTTCGGTCACGGGGCAAAGGGGAGCAAAGTTGGAGAGCGCATTGTTTTTATGAGAGATGCCTTTGATGAGGAGTTGTTCTAGGAACTTCATAATTCTTATCTAACTCAAGAGAGTTGCCGTCTCTTCTGCCAAGAAGCCATCGTAACTTACAAGGCTATAAGTGGGCCTTATAAGGTTATCGGTGGGCCTGTTACCTCTCGGCCTCATCCCCTAGGGCACTCAGCTCCAGCAACATGGCCTCCCGGCTTTTCCTTCAAGGAGGCAGGCTCACTGCTGACTTACGGATTTTCATCTGTGGTTTTTTCCCCTTAGAATGACATCCGCGTGGCTGGTTCCCTTACTTCCCTCACATCTTCATTCAAAAATTAATGAGGTTTTCTCTGGCTGCCCTTTTGAAACTGTCTGCCTTGCCACACTCCTGGCCACCAACATCCATGTGTACTCTACATTACCCTTCCTTTTGATTTTTATTCCAGTACTTATCTTGCTAAAATATTCTTTCAGATTTTACTGGTTTTTCTTATCATTGTCTGTGTCCCTGTCTAGATTCTAAGTTCCCTGAGGACAGACGTGTTGTCTGTTTCATTCACTGCTTTATCCCCTGCTCCTACAAGAGCACCTGGTGCATGGTTGTTCCTTAAAAGAAACTTGTTGAATGATTGAACGGCCTATCAAGGAGCTAGCCAAACTCCTCTGAGAGGGTTTGAGGAGGTGGCCTGAGGGGATCATTCCTGGGTGAGCCAAAGCCTAGAAGATCGGGCTTCTTCCAGGCAGAAATGCAAATTGCCCACTCCAGACTAGGAATCTCTTGTTCTGCTTCTGAGGGTAGCCATAGGCCTGACCTGTGGAAGGCAGGGAAGAGAAGCTTTGCTGGAAAGGGTCCCTTGGCCTTTGATGGAAAGTGTTGGAAAGAAAAAGACTTTGGGGACCTCCCCCTCAAGAAATAAAAATAGAAAACAGAAATCTGTCTATGATTCTGGGCCCGCTATTCTTCACAGTTATAACTAGTTTTCTTTAAGTGACTCAGCCTCCCGGCTAGTTTAGTAGGGACCACGTCTATTTGGTTAACCACTATATCCTGGTGCCTCGGTATCTGCATGATTGAGAGCATAAGTCAGAAACTATGAACATGTGACTGTGATTCCACCAACTTTTTAAGTATTTTCTAAGCTTGTTCAACTGTGGAGATGTATGCCTGCCCTGGTGACATGATCGTGGTCCTTCACCCATGGAGCCTGCTTACAGGAAGGCGTAGACATCAGCAACGTTTGCAACAAAATAGAAAGTCAAGAGTGTTGTGGGATTTACAGCACAGGAACTGAATCTGGGCTCGTGGGGCTGGGAGTGAGAAGTTCTGCAGGGAAGTGATGGGCCCCAGAAGCGCGCGCGCGCGCGCGTGTGTGTGTGTGTGTGTGTGTGTGTGTGTGTGTGTGTGTTGGGAAGGGTTAGGGGTCACCATGAGCAAAGGGCCTGCAGCGATGGCAGAGAAGTCCTGTGTGACTGGAGAGTAATGAGGACAGGAGAACACATGCTGAAGAGGTACCCAGGGCACAGAGAGTAGATACATTATCAGCCAATGTAGGCAATTTTGGACTTTTCCTACGAGCTTCCTATATAGTTCTTAGGATATATTTTGACTCTTTATTTTAAGATATATTTAGACTTACAGAAGAGTTGCAAAAATGGTACAGGGGCATTACGTATTTCCTTCACCCAGCTTTTCCTAATGTTAACATCTTATAAAAATGAGAATATGATCATTAAAACTAAGAACTTAGCATTGGTACACTTCTATGAACTCAACCACAGACTTCATTCAGATTTCACCAATGACCTAGAATTGCACATGGCATTTAGTTGTCAGGTCTCCTTCGTCTCCTCCAATTTCACACACACTGAACCATTTGAAAAGTGAACGGACAACATGATGTTTTACCCTTTAATGCTTCAGCATGTTTTAAAAGTAAGGATGATGAACAGCACACCAAGGAAACTTAATAACAACTCTCTAATATTCTCTCATACCAATCCATATTCACCTGCTATTCTCAAGATGTCATTATAGCTAATTTTTCCATCCAGACTCTAACCATGTTTAATACATTGTGTTTAGCTATCATTTCTCTTTAGCCACTTTATTCTAGAACTGCACTATCCAACATGGTAGTCACTAGCTCATGTGGCTATTTAAAATTTAATTTAAATTAATTAAATGGTTTTTTTTGGAAGTTTATTTATTTTGAGAGAGAGACAGGGAGAGAGAGAGAGAGAGAGAGAGAGAGAGAGAGAGAGAGAGAGAGAGAGAGAAAATCCCAAGCAGGCTCCACACTGTCAGCACGGAGCCCAGTGTGGAGCTCGAACTCACAAACCACAAGATCAAGAACTGAGCTGAAATCAAGAGTCAGTCGCTCAACTGCTTAATTAAAGTTAAAAATCCAGCAACACCTGGGTGGCTCAGTCGGTTAAGCATCCGATTTTGGTTCAGGCCATGATGTTGCCGTTCATGGGTTCAAGTCCCACGTCAGGCTCTGTGCTGACAGCTCAGAGCCTGGAGCCTGCTTCAGATTCTGTGTCTCCCTCCCTCTCTCTCTCTGCCCCTCCCCAGGCTCGTGCCCTGTCTCTTTTTCTCTCTCAAAAATAAACATCAAAAAGAAAATAAAAATCAATAAGTAAATATATTTTAAAAATTTATAAATGAGTGAATAAATAAAGTTAAAAATCCAGTTCCTCAAGCACGCTAGCTACATTGCAAGTGCTCAGTAGTGTCATGGGGCTAGTAACTAGTCTGTTGGAGGGCACGGGCTTAGAACATTTCCATCCTCACAGAAAGTTCTGTGGGACAACACTATTCTGGAATTTTTCTTTCTTATTTATTTTTCTGTGACCTTGCCTTTTCCTCAGCTGAGAGCAGATCTGGTTTAGAGCAGGATTTCTCAACCTCAGGACCACTGACTTTGTCATCCAGGGCCGTCCTGTGCATTGTAGGGCATCCAGTAGCATCACGAGAGGTCGCCAGTGGCTCCGTGAAACTGTCCCCAGATATCTCCGAATGTTCTTAGGGAGAAAAAAATTACTCCTGGCCCAGAACCACTGGTTTAGGATACGTTGTTTTGCTCTGTTTGAATGAACGGACTGAAGAAACCAAGAGAGGTAGACGTAATTGATTCTGTATGGATACAGTAGTGCTTAGTATATATTCAATGAAATTTGATGAGTGAGCGACTAGGTATTGAAATGTTGGGAAAGTAGATGTTAGGGGAGGATGAATTACATAAGGAACATGTACTGTCCCCTTCTGCCCCCCTCCTCTTCCCATTTTGCTAAGTTTGATCAGAAATGGTGAGTGGAAGGGTCAGAGTATACCTCATTTTGCCCATTTTATATAAAATGTATCAAGGCCCCATCACAAGCGAAGTAATACTCATTATCTGCCAAATCAGAAATCTTAATCCAGGGCGGGAAGTACACACGATGCAAAAGACTTCTCCAGATTTCAAATTTGAGAAGTCAGACATAAACATGAGCTCTTAAGGTCTTAATGATAATTCATCAACCCCAGAGGGACGTCTGTACACACGTATTTATAGTTGAACCTGAGTATTTGTGATTCCATATTTGCAAAATCATCTACTCGATGAAATTTATTTGTGACCACAAAATCATGACTCATGGTGTTTTCATAGTCAAGCACGGATATGCACAAAACACCAAAACTTTGAGTCGCCCGAAATTTGAGTTGCGCCGAAGCACACGTTTGCGTCCGAAGCTGAAGAAGGTGATGCTCTGCCTTCTTTTTTTTTTTTTTTTTTTTTTAATTTTTTTTTTTCAACGTTTATTTATTTTTGGGACAGAGAGAGACAGAGCATGAACGGGGGAGGGGCAGAGAGAGAGGGAGACACAGAATCGGAAACAGGCTCCAGGCTCTGAGCCATCAGCCCAGAGCCCGACGCGGGGCTCGAACTCCCGGACCGCAAGATCGTGACCTGGCTGAAGTCGGACGCTTAACCGACTGCGCCACCCAGGCGCCCCTGCCTTCTTTTTTATCTCTCGTACTGTAAACAAGGTCTTCTTGTGGTTTATTTAGCAACCCCCGCCCATTTCTTTTTTTACACTTTTGCCTTTTTTTGTCGGTGATTTCGCTGTTTAAAACACCCCCCACGTGTAGTGCTAAACTGCTGTGTAGTGTTACTAAGCCCAAGAAGGTTGTGATTTGCTTTATGGAAAATGTACATGCATCAGATAAGCTTCATTCAGGCATGAGTTATAGTGCTGTTGGCCCTGAATTCAACGATATAAATAAAAAAAAATGTATATTTTTTAAGTTTATTTTAAGAGAGAGAGCACACGTGCGCAGGAGTGAGAAAGGGGCAAAGAGAGAGGGGGAGAAAATCCCAAGCAGGCTTCACGCTGTCAGCACAGAGCCTGATGCGGAGGCTCGATTTCATGAACCGTGAGATCATGACTTTAGCTGAAATCAGGAATCAGACGCTTAGTCGACTGAGCCACCCAGGTGCCCTAACAAAATACATTAAATAAGGTATCATTAATCAGAAAACACACAAAAAACAAGATTATATATTGATCAGTTGGCAAAAATATTGTTACTAGAGGCTCACAGGAATCTAGCCCTGTATTTTACTCTGGGACTCCCTTCAGTACTCACTAATTCGGTATTCAAGGCAACTTTGTAGAACATAAACTATTGTAAATAATAAGAATCATTAAGAATCACCCTGGGTGTGACCTGGGTCAGAGGAATAATTTGGGCAGGCGCAAAGGCATTATTCGCTCTTCGCCCTTGCCCTCATCCAATGCAGCAGAGGAAGAGTGGGATATAATGGCCAAAAGCTAGAGTGTCAGGCCAGATGTGAGGGGGAATCCCACTCGCCTGCTTACTGTTTGTGTGTCTCTGGCATGTGACTTAACTTCACCGGCTGTGCTCTCATCAGCGAAATAGGGAAAGTAATAGTCCCTGCCTCTTAAAGTTTTGAGCAGAGAACGACACAGTGTATGTAAGACATTTAACCAGCGTAAGACACGGAGTAAGCGTTCGATAAACATTTGCTTCTGCCATCACTCGGGCCTTATTTATTTTTCGTTCTTTCTTTATTTTTTGGACATACACGTGCAGAAGCAAATAGGAATAACCATGTACCTAACTCGTGGAAAGCACATGGTGTATAAAGTATCCTTCAGGCAACATTTCATGAAGACATAAGTGGCCTTGTTTGTTTTTGAAGCTGGTATTTAAGGAAGCTGGATGTAGAATCTGCAGTGTGCCAGGTTCTGTGGTGGCTGCTTTCCCATCCACAGTTTCACTTAATCTTCACAAGATGTATCATCTAATATGTCTATGATGCCTTATGGTATTTAAATGACAAAGAAACCCATGAGTTAAATGGCGCATGTAAATATCAGCCTTGCTCATCTTAGACTCGATGTCGAGGGAGGGACGCACAGGAGACTTAACTGAATTGTTGCCTTCTTTAACTGGGTGGTAGGCACCCAAGTATGTATTGCATTTGTCTCTGTGCTTTTTGCTTGTCAGTGTATTTTGCTAGCTATATTTCTGAAAGCCACGTGTGTTCATTTTACCAAATTCAAAAAATGTGAAGAACAAAAACCCTTCTCCCCCACCGCCCCCAGAAGTAGTCACTATCGGCTTTTTGGTGGGGATCCTCTTGGACAGTGCCTGTGTATTTTTCAAAACAAAATCAAGATCACATTATACATATTTGTAACTGGGCGCTCACTGCCCATGGGCTAAAATGTATTTTGTAGGCTCTCTGGCATTTCACTGTGGAGTGCATCATACTTCCTTAACTAGTTGCTTCTTAATGTGTATTTAGATTGCTACCCCCTCCACTATAAATGTGCTATAATGAACACTTTTCTATGTCTCCACATGTGCATGTTAGCATTTCTGTCTGGTGTCACAGAAGTAGGATTCCTGCCACATGTTGAAGAATTAAAGTGTATCATGGAACTTTCCTCCTAAACAGTAGCCTCCTGTCAGCCCTGTGAGTGCCCGCCCCGGCACCTCACTGCTCTGGATGCTCTAAATTTGTGACAGTCTGATGCAAAACCAAGGAGTTCGCTCTGCTAACACACATGTCTTTGTTACCGAGGTCGTTTCTCAACGTTGTTACTGGCTATTTGCATTCCGTGTTTCCCTGTATCGCCTATTCCCATCCTTTGTGCATTTTTGTGTTTTTTTTTCTCACTGATTTATCCAGGAAGTTTTTTTGGGTGTCACTCCCTAACTGTGTACATATTGTGCTTTACAATTTACAAAGCACTTTTCATTATGTGAGATATCCTGGCATCTGGTTCTGAGTTGGCTTCTTATGGCCTCAGGACAGCTAGCTTGAAAGGATTCCGGCCAGCCCTCAGTCCGCCTGCCAGAGGGAGACAGAGTCTGGACTCCCACCAGATTTCCGCACTCCGAATCTCATGTTCTTTTGGCTCCACTGCAGTTTACAATGCCCATCTTCCAAATTCAGTAGTGTTCGGGGAGGTTTCTGTTTTTCTGACAACTGTTTCCACAAAGCAAAGCTCATGAGCGGCCGTAATGCGTGGCCTCCGGTCCCCACGGCCTTCAGTCCCCACCGGATCTTTCCCAGGTGCTGTGAGGTGGAGTATGGTGCTCGCGGCACAAACCCAGCAGTCTTGAACGTGGGATGGGAAGGGGAAGTAGGGGTGGAGGAGGGTACGTTGCCAGCCCAGGCGAGCTGCACTCACGTCCCGTGTGCTCACCCTCCCGTGTGCCCTGCAGAGTTTGTGAAGCGGCTGCGGTACTGCGAATACCTGGGGAAGTACTTCTGTGACTGCTGTCACTCCTACGCGGAGACCTGCATCCCTGCCCGGATCCTCACCTTGTGGGACTTCAGGAAGTACTACGTCAGCAATTTCTCCAAACGGCTGCTGGACGGCCTATGGCACCAGCCGGTTTTCAATTTGCTGAGCGTTGGCCACAGCCTGTATGCCAAGGCCAAGGAACTAGACAGAGTGAGGGTGAGCGGCTGCCTCTGCGGGGGAGGCCGGGCCAGAGGCTCAGAGGGCCCTGCGATGGCAGATGCCACCGTCTCAGGGCACCCAGACAGACCCTCCAAGGGGCGGGTTTACCACCAGCGGATGGAGCGTCAGCTTCAGGGCCTTTTCCAAGACCCCGTACCACATTTTATATTTATGCATAGTTCTGCACGTACACGTAGCTTTTAAAATTTGTTTATTATTTTTAAAATAAAATTGTTTATATTTCAGGTATACAGCATGATAATTTGATATACAAATACAAGTGAAATAATTACCGCTCAAGCTAATTAACCTATCTATCTCCTTGCAGCCACCTTTTGTGTGTGAGTGTGTATGGTGGGAGCACCTGAAATTTACTCTCTCAGGAAGTTTCCAGTATTCAATACACTTATGATTAACTCTAGTCATCTTACCATCTATTAGATCTCTAGACTTACTCATCCAACAGAACCCCAACTTCGTTCCCTTTGACCGATGTCTTCTCATTTGCCCCACCTCCCCACCCCCCACCCCGCCCCGGTAGCTTCTGTTCAACAACTCTCTGCTTCTGTGTATTTGACCTTTTAAGATTCCACATAGAAGTGAGGCCCATGCAGCTTTTTCCTTTCTGTGTCTGCCTTATTTCACTTAGCCTAATGCCCCCCAGGTTCACCCATGTTGTCACAAATGGCAGGATCTCCATCTTTTGTGCATAGTTTTGTGTTCTCCTCAAAGAGGGCCCCCAACGGTTATGTAAGCTTCAGGCCCCACAATAGTTGGGTCCATCCTGGGCCCTCTGCGGATCTCTGGACTCAGCCACGAACCCCTGCTATATTGACTGTTTACTTCAAAGACTTATTATAGAGTTGTAGCCTTTCAAAGTGAGAAATAACAGTTAGACTTAACTTCTACATTTTCTGTGTCATTTATCACATTAACATTTCCCCCCGCCCCCCGTTTGGTGTCTTCCTTTAGGAAACCCGGGAGCAACTTTTTCATATCAAGAAGCTGTTGAGGACCTGCAGGTTTGCTGAAAGGTACTAGTGTTTGGCTGGGACAGGCCAGGCCTGGGTCCAGGAGGGCTGGGCGCCCCCACATACCTGCCAGTCCCCTGTGTGCCAACTGGTCCCAGCTCCCCCAGTCCACAGGGCCCCTTAGCACAGCACCTACTTCGGTCTCCCCTTGGTGATGCAGACCGTATTGTTAAAGTCACTAAACCTTCTGGCTCACTAGCAGTGAATGTAATGTGTGAGAAGAATTGGCCAGTACAGGGATGAAATAACTCTAGTTTTCAATTGTGATAAAATACACGTAACCAAATACACCATCTTAACCATTTTAAGGGCACAATTCCGTGCCCTTAAGTACATGCACATTCTTCTGCAACCGTCACTGCCATCCGTGCACAGAACTTTTTGTATCTTGCGAAACTGAAATTCTACATCCATTGAGCAGTAACTCTCTCTTCCCCCCTCCCACCCCACCCCTGTAGCGCCTGGCAACCACCATCCTACTTACTGTCTCTATGAAGTTGATAACCACGGGTACCTCATAATAGTACAGTCATACAGTATCTTTCCTTGTGTGACTGGCTTATCGCACCCAGCAGAATGCCCTTGAGGTAGCACCTGTGTTGCAGCATGTGTCAGGACTCCCTTCCTTTTTAAGGGCTGAAAAAGATTCCATTGTATGTATCTGCCACATTTTGTTTACGCATTCATCACCAGAAACGTTGCTTCCATCCACCTTCTAGCTGATGTGAATAGTGTTGCTATGAGCATGGGTGTTATCAATGGCCTTTTAAAAACCCCCAATAAAAAAAAAAAAAA